TGCAGATTCAAACAGCAGAGAGGATTTCCCATGATGCCGCATGTTGTTCCCGCTCGTAACACCAGTAACCGTTAACGCGTTAAACTTAAACTTTTGAGTTGTTGCTGAAAATGAATAATATTGATTTGAGTATGTAATAATTGCAATCTGTGATACTAATAAATATAGTTACCTATTTCTCAAATATTTTTGAGTCCGTTTCAAACAAAATATTAAGTAGATGTAACAAAGATATTTCGTGAACGAGTTAAGTTTTTCTTTTAAATAAATGTTAAAAAAAAAAAAGACTTTAATCTAACACAAAAACCTATGTTAAATTTTTAAACATTTATTTCAGTATACCCAACTTAAATAATCAGTTATGTGACATTCAGAGACTTTATTAAGGTCATCTAAGTTATAAACAGTGAAATTTACTAAGCCTCTGAATGACTTTTTAGAGTTCACATTTACAGAATGCACCACTTGGAAAATGTCTGGGGGGGTTTTCAGGATGATGAGCTTTGGATGAATATCCAGGTTTGCAGTCACGCCACAGGCTCTTCTAATCCAGCACCAAAACACACACTGGTATTTGGGTGATTAAATCCTGATGGGGATCAATCAGTCTTTGTTGGATGTGTGCAGACAAGCACATGCCCTGTGGTGCTCCAGATGCAAGGCTGGTTTTGCTTGTTTGGTGGTGGCTTGCTAACACCGAGCTGCCTTTCAGGATGTCATGTTCCTGCTCATGTTTGTGTTGCCATCTATTGATCACCTGATCTCACAGGCATGTTGCATTTCGTCCCACAAACATCTGTTGGGTTTCAGATTCTTTATTTGACGTCAGGAACTTGAGAGAAGAAATAAAGTGACTAAACAACAGGAGTGACTGGTTTCAGAGGAAAGGGACAGTAAAAGCAGTTTCTCACAGGTTTTGTCACTGTGCACATCTTGTATTGCGTCTCCACTTCTTCAGATCACATTTAAATTTAAAAAATACAAATAAAATGTATCATCGAGTCCAAAGTTCAACACATAAAGCGCACATCAGTTAGAGTAACCAATGAGTTTGACGTTGTTTTTCCAGCCTTTAATACAAAACAATAAGAAGAGTGATAAAAAGCACAGAGTTCACTACGACCGCAGCTCACAGTGAACATTTTAAAAACTGATTCACACTCAGAACTGATTCTGGAGCCATTCTGCAGATTGTGGCGCCACCTCCTGCATCGCTCTGTTCATGGGACGTTGGGTGGAACTGTGAAAATGGATAAATGAAAACATCCGAGAACCATCCATCCATTATCTTTACCCATTTATTCCATTTTGGGTCACGGGGGTCGCCGGTGTCCATGTCCAGCAATCACTGTGCGAGGGGCGGGGGACACCCTGGACAGGTCTCCAGTCCATCACAGGGACACATAGAGACATTCATTCTCTCTCTCACCTAGGGACAAATTCAAGTTACCAATCAGCCTAACATGCATGTTTTTGGTCTGTGGGAGGAAACCGGAGCACCCGGAGAAAACCCACGCATGCACGGAGAGAACATGCAAACTCCACCCAGAAAGGCCCCTGGACCGGGATTTGAACCAGGGACCTGCTCGCTGAGAGGCAGCAGCTCTACCAGTTGCACCACCGTGCTGCCCACTGATGGATAATTGGTCTGCAAAAAAAAACCATCTTTAACACAATTAAAGGAAATTAAATGACAAAAATATGCAGTTCCTAATATTTATACTTTCTTAGTCTATATTTAGTAAAATACTGAAGAAACACAATCTATGTCAAAGTACCTGCTATATTGCAATTTTCCTTTTTTTAATTGGTTTTATTTATTGTAGTTTATAATTCTTGACTTGGGAAAGTGACAGATTTTTTAAAAGTGCATGATATGCAGATGATTCCAGGACGTCCTTGTAAAAGAGATCGATGATCTTAATGGATTTCTTCCTGGTAAAATAAAGTAATAATTTTTTTTTTTATGTGTTTTACTGAAAGCATGACAAATTTAACAAGAATTAGACTTATGTAATCTTAAATTAACCTTTTTATGGTCAATAAAACTTATAAACAAAAATAAAATTTCTCATATGAAAGTTGAAAAAAAGACATGCTTAGAAATTAGGGCTGCACGATATTATCGGCATGGTATCGTATCGGACGATATTAGCGATAAAGTTAAATATCGGACGTCGGCCATTCCATCAAAATAACTCACCGATAGAAAAGGCTTCGGTTTTAAGTTAATTTTTAATTTAAGAAACTGTCAAGTATATCCATTAATGCACTACTACTGATGCACTTTTCACTTGTTGCTTGTGAACAAGTTGTTTCGATTTGATAAAATTTACAAATGTGCACTGTTCCAGTGTTGTCATTGTGTTAGAGTAAATGTCATGAATAAATGTGACATTTAACATAATCCAAGTTGAAGTGTTGCTTCATTTTCAGCATCTGCATGTGCTGGCACGCCAAACTGACAAAGACCGTGCAGAATAATGTAGGATTTTAATTCCACAGCAGAGAAAGATATGTAGTCTCTGTAAATAGGTCTAGGGGGAAAATATCGGTTATCGGCCAAATAAGTTTTAACATAACGGAATATCGGATCAAATCTGATATTGTGCATCCCTATTAGAAATGTATTTTCATGTCAGCTCAGGATGATGATGGAATAAACGACAGCAGGCGATATATTTCCTTTAAGGAACAACACGTTTAATCATTTTTGTGATATAATTTTTATTTAAATACCTTTTTTTCATGAACAACTTTTCCAAAAAGCTTTAAAATGATGCTGACCATTTAAACAAATAGTAAACACTTTGATTTATGTATATATGATAAAATCTTCAATTACAAGGTAATCATTTATTCTTACATTTAAAAGTTGTTTATTAAAAAAAAAGGAAAAAGACAAACTGATGAAAGAATGGATCAGAACATGGAACGTGAGTTTATCAATAATAAATACTGATGTTCGTGGGTTTAATGCGAAAACAACAAAAAGTGACACAAACCGACCACAGTGAGACGTTTTACACAAAGAAACACGAGACAAAATGGAAATACATTTTTAAAAAATACACAAGAACCCTGTGAAAACAATGATGAGGAATAAAACCAGTCCATCCCAACATAAATGCTCATCTGAAACATAACGCAGCTCATCAATGATGTTATTTTGACATAATTAAATAAGAGAATGCTTCATTTCACAAATGTTCTTTCTGCTCCGTTTTTCTGTAGCATGTGAAGGAATGAACCATCTGGAACGTGTTCCTTTTTAAGAAAGAAACTATTCCTAAAAGGCCATATCGCACTTGAAATATTTGTCAAGTGCCGAGCCCAATGAACCCACTAGGGTCAGTGGTTCTGAGTTTGTCAGCCCTCGCTTCATGTTAGGGGTTTCTGAGGACGGGGTTGGTGACGTCCACCTGGCTCTGGTCTCATGGTGATACAGTAAACCTGTGGTAGCCATCATCATCATCTTCTTTGTTGGCCCTGCAGTACAGCTACAGAGACACTTTAACTCAGTATTGCACAATCATGAGTATACACAGCCGTGAACTCTGACATACTTTCACTACAGCCCCCACACACACATAAATACAGACGCACACGCGGCCCTGACTTGCTGCTTCTGCTGCAGACTCAGTGCATCGTTAGAACCAGAGGCTCTGGCGTTAGAACCAGAGGCTCTGGCGTTA